CAACTATGCCACTCTATCAAACATTATTTTTGTGAAATCAAAATCTTTTTAAAAGTTACAGTTTTTTCAAACCACATACATAGCACTCTTGTTTCCAAAATAAGTTCTTGTTTGCTCGTGACATATTTATTAAATAAAAATTCGGTGGTTAAGATAAATTAATAAATGAGAAAAATTTTGAACCAAACAATTCTCTCAAAAAGAAATGAGCATATAATTTTGGGATGGAAGAAAAAAAAGATTGATAAGCTAACATCATTAACAAACATGGAAATACTACTCTCTAAGATTTCCTATGCATCATAGAGGGATTGAGATGGCTTACTTCGTTTTCTAATCCTGAGTTCACTTGTTTCTTTGCTATCCGTGTCCATCTTTAGTTCTAGCTATACTTTCACTTTTACCATCAGCTTCTTTGGGTCTATTGCAGCTTCCAGAATCTATGAAGCAAAGCCAGGCTGACTTATACCTAGAAACGTATCAAGTTTTAGATTTGGAAATGAGCCGGCTGCGTGAAGTTCAGCGATGGCAGGCGTCAACAGCATCTAAGGTTGGACTTTTACTCTTGTGCATCTTGTCCAATGCTCTAATAATCACTAGGGATTGGTCAGGTGTTGACCTGCCACCTATCACCTTGCTCACCGCCTACGGGCGCCTAAGCCGCTAGGCAGACCATCTTCATTTACTGATATTTTATTTTGTTTATCGATGAGCTGTATTTTTTTTTAATTTTTTTATTAATATTATTGAAACGGTCGATTACAAGCAGGGGGCCCATGGCCTGTTAACCTCGTGACCGCCCCGGGGCCCGTTAAACACCTGAGGCAGATAGCCCACTATAAATAGCCCAATCTAAAGCCCAACCCCATAAATCTGCAAACACTTCCGAGGGGGTCACCCATCACCCATCGATTAGCTGTATTTTTAGTTCATATACTTTTTAAATGCTACTCCCTCTGTCCCAAAACCATCTTCCTACTTGCCACTTTAAAATGCTTCATAATTATCTTCTCATTCCCCTTTTTGGCACACAATGTTTACTCTTTTAAGAAAAACACACTTTTACCCTCAACGACCTACACCTACATATTAATTATATTTTATTCCATTTTTACTAAATTTAAAAACTAGGTAGTGGCATTTAAATGATTTCCCTTTAACTAGGTAGTGGCATTTAAAATGATTTCCCTTTGGCATTTAAACTAGGTAGCTCATTGCCTTGCTGCTCTTGCAATATCAATCATGTGTCAAACATGATAATAACACATGTCTCAACTCATTGTCACCTCATGATATTTTCCTACTAACTACTTGAATAAGATAACAAATAGTCATCTTGCATATAATTTTCCTACGTCCAGGCGCAATTCAGAAAATGCCTGGACGACTAGTCGGCAACTAGGCGACGACTTGACAACAATGCTTATTACTTACTTTGTATTATATATTCTTATTGGAATAATATCGGATCAAAAACAACTTTAACTTTAAGACCTGACTAGAAAGATTTGAATACAAAAGAAGTGAACATGCCCTTAGTCATTAACATATTGTGTACTTGTCTTATATGGGGCACCACTAGTTGTGATTGTGGACTTACAACAATGTCACAAAAATTGTTTATCGTTATCTTATTCTGCTTGCTAGATTTGGACGGAGATGCAAAATGATTTTTTGCCAAACTTCATACTCTGCAATACAACTCAGCGTTTTGTCCGATCTTCTAGAGTTCCTTCAGTTTCTGTGCAGAAACCTTCAATTCCCTATGCAAAGCCAAACTTTTATTGTGGTAACCCAGTAAGAAGTTATCCAACACAACTATGTAATTTCCATGATTTCTTTGCTTGAATAGAAAAAATGTGTTGATTGCTCAGTTGCTCCTCTATAATTTGTCCTAGGATCTAAATTCTGCATACCAGAACTTTGCTCGATTGTATTGTGGATTTTTTGGGATCCCTCACATGTATTCAATTGCAAAGCTTTTGGGGTCTAGATCATTGCCTTGGCTTATCAGAGCCCTCTTGGATCATGTCTCAAACAAGGTATAATGTGGAGCATGAATGCATTCTTGATCATCTTGTGTCTTGGGAAATCTTCTCTAGCTATTATATCATGCAAAACTATTTACCTCTAGTGATATCAAACTTCTGTTTATTGCGATGAGAAGAATTTTTGTGTCCAGCTATTGTACTTTATCAGTAAGTGTTCATCATATCATAGTAGATAGTGCATGTAGTCATGATCTCAACCTCATCATGCATCTAGGTTTTTACTCATTGAAAATGACTTACTGATGAGATGCTAATGTTTTACATATTTCATTTAGATTACTACAATTGAACCAATGATTATTGGCTTACAAGAAGCTTTGCCTAAGTCCATTGGATTGCTTCCGTTTGATGGAGGAGTAGCAGGTATTTTGCAGGCAAAGTTGATTTGGTTGTGTAGCTTTGTAATGCTACTGCTTATAAATTTGTCAAAACACTGCCTTTTTTAGTTTTTTTAGTCGTTATTAAAGATTGAGCTGCAACATAAAATGCACAACCTACATTATTATTGGAAAATGTGAGATTTATATTATACTCCTTCCATCCCACTATTTTTTGTCCATTTTACCATTTATGTCCGTAACACTATTTTTGTCCCATACCATATTTGGTAATGTTTATGTGGGTCAAATTCTTTCCTACTTTTTTTTACTATTTGAAATCAATATCAACAAAATAATTCTACTTTCCTTAGTTTTCATGCCACTACCATATGTCCCAAAAATAGCAGGATGGAGGGATAAATATTGAAGTTTCACCATTTTTGTTGTATTGAAGTAGGACATTTGATCTTGTAATCCCATTAACATGAGCCCTCCATTTTCTGAAAGAAACTTTTCAAATTTGCCATATGTAACCTCACTTGTTTGTGAGTGTTCTTAAGGTTTTCCTTAATGGTATGGTTTGATATTTTTTAACTGATTGTATTTCTTAGACCCAAAGACCAAATATATATTAATATAAATAGAAAATAGAGATGGTAATCTTTATGTTAAAAAAAAAGTAATATTTCAAAAATATAAAATGGAAGTATGTTTTTGCTCAAAGAGTAATTGTTTACATTAGTACGAAGTATAATTTAGTTGAATTATATTTACATATATTTTCCATAATTTCTGATGGTGCCAAAGATTCACTATTTTTAGCTTTAGGGTATGATGGGATATAGCAAAATACTCTTTAAACAGTTTGTCTTTCAATAGTGAAGTACAGTAGCAGTTACTCAATGCAACTTTTGACGCTCATCATGCGTCATCAGAAAATAGTTGACCTAATAGTGGCCAGGTTGCGTACATCTGACTCCCCTTACCCCGCAATGTGCGTTGTTGTTGTATGTTTAAATATACTCCCTCTGTCCCAAGAAACACTCACGTTTACTTTTCATCCCTCCCATAAAACAGTTCCTCTTGCCATTAAAATCTCCTTTTTACCCCTACTAATTATTAACCTACCTATCACATCATATCTGTTTACTATTAATCTATACATCACATCATATCTATCCTACCCTACTAAAAAGTAAGGGAAAATTTGGAAAATAACACCAAAATCACACATTCCTTAAATCCCATATTTTCCTATAGTGGAAAAGTTTTATGGGAGGGAGGTAGTATTATTATAGAACAAATTTTTCCCTCCTACTCGGTACCCTAAAGGGTAACTGCATAGGCAGGGCTGGCAGGCCAAGGTAGCCAGATTCATTGTAGATTTGTAGGCCGCGGCAAGCCTAGGTGCAACCTAACTTTTATATTTGTTTGTTTTGAAATGAGATCAAGTGTAGATTAAGTGTCTAATTGCTTGGTTTGCATTTTGTCATGACTCATGAAGTGCCACCTAATATTTGAGTGCTTTAAGTCTCTTTTAGGATTCCACTTTCAAGTAGGGGTAAGGTCTGTACACACACCCTCCATAGTTACTTTTTGTGGGATTTTTACTAGGTTTGTTGTTTTTGTTGTGGTTGCAAGTCTCTTTCTGGATCACATGATCAAAATGGAGTCATTTTGCAACATAGTGGGAACAATTGCACGGTCGTATTGAACTTATATCAGGTGTAGATAAATCTAGTTTTTAACTGTGGATCTTTTTTTGTTGGTTCTGAGCACTTTGTTATATGGTTTTAGGATGTATGAGATATGCAAAGGATATTCTTAACTGCTGGCAGTCAAAATCTGAACTCAAAGCTAAGATTCTTTGTGGAATCAAGGAAATTGGGAGTGTGCTGTACTGCATGGGTCTTCTTGATATTGTTTTGGTAAGTTTGCCAAGTCGATTGGTTTTCTATGTAGTACTACTTACTAATACCATGAACTCATTGCACTTTCGTTTAAATTTTGGTCCTTTCCTATAAATAGAAAGCTAGTAATACATCATCAAGACCAATCCTCCATTTGTGGGGCTTGGTCTACACTCTAAGTGATGCAATTAGTGAGGGAAGAAAGAAAGTCTAGACTTTGTCCTAAAGCTGCTTTACATTATTACAACAACCAAAACGACCACATACCCAGTATAATTCCAACGGGGTCAAGAATTAAGATGGAAGCAACGTTACCCCTACAAGTTAGACCTTTGATGCATTGCTGCATTTACTTCCAAAAACTTCATACTACGTAGAAAGTATGAAGCAAATGAAGTTTAATGTGCCATTTTGATCTAGTTCATTATTTTCCCGAAGCTATAACATTGTAAACAATGATGTATAGCTCCAATAGCAATGAATAACTACTTTGCATCATTAACTTTACAAAATATTTCAATTCGTTCCCTCAAGTTGGTGCCATCCATGCATCCTATGAATTGAAAGCTAATAGTACATGGTCAAGATCCATTCCTACTATTCGCAGAGCTTGGTCTAAGAGGTCAGTAGTGCAAACAAATAACAACCAATATTGTGAAATCCCAGAAATAGGGTCTGGGGTGCTGTACTCAGACCTGATCCCTGCCTAGAACGAATAGAGTAGTTGAGTAATGCAACAGAAAAGGAAGAAATAAAGCAAGCCTATACTTTGTCCTAAAGCAACTGGCCATTATTAACTTTACAAAATATGTCTACAGTAATGACTGATCTATATGATGGGTTGACAGAAGCAGCTTTGTCAAATGATAATCTAATGGTACTCCATCAGGCATCAGCTACTTCCCTAATTTTCCTCTGGTTGTCTTTTGAACTTATCTACAAATGTAGTATTCATATTTGGGTTTATTGAAACACCAAACATCCGTTCAATATTTGAGACTATTACACTTCTCGAGCTGCTCAAACTTCATTCTTCACTCTCTCCGTCCCTCTTGGATCTTCCTTTTTCTTTTTGGGCCATTTGTAATTAATCTTCTCCTTTCCTTTAAGGAAGACTTGTGTGGTTTGTATTGATTATTTTATTTCTAGATAAACCATAACCACACAATTTCATTTTTTTAACTGGGTAAAATGAAAAAGGGAACATTAAAAAGGACAGAGTGACTGAGTGAGTATATTTTAAGATGCATTTATGATTCTTTGTCTCCTCTCTCTTTTATGTTTTGCCATATTCGTTAAAGTAAAAAATGTGCTGAGAGAACTTGTAATATTGTGTTTGGCAGAGGGAAGTAGATACTTGTAATTTCTTGCAAACAGCCCCTTGGTTAGGTTTAATTCCAGGCACAGATGGGCAGATGACGCAATCTCAAGAGGGGGCAGATAGCCCTATGGTCACTCTCTTTAAATCCGCAACTGCTGCAACTGTATCTAGCCCTAGCTGCTTAAGTTCCACATCATTCAGCATGTTATCAAAGCAAGCGGAAGCTGCTGGTATGTATTCACCTACTTAGAATCCACCAAACACAGGCAATTGCTGTTTATAATGATGCTAGGACTGGTTGAATAGAATTTCAATGTTAGGTGCAACTTTTTTGATATATTATCAAATTAAGTTAGGATACATATGGTAGACAATAAAGAAAATTAAAATTTGCATAGTTTGATTTCTGGTAAGCATAGTACACATTCCATTTTAACCTGTTGAGTTTCATTTATATTTCAGTATACATACTGTTGACTTGTTGAGTAGATATCTCTTTTATTCATATTTCACTATCAATTCCATATGCACTCCTTTTTGGTCATCAACCTATTAGATTGGACTGTCATTCAAATATAAGCTCACTTTCACATGAATGAAGAATCTTTTAGTATCATATACTCCCTCCAGTGTATTCGTCTAATTTGACTTTTTTTGAGTCAAACTAGATGCAATTTAATCATCAATCATCAATTATTCTCAATTTATATTGCATATTAATACAATGAAATAAAATTTTGAAAGTTCTCAACAAGATAAATCTTATGAAGTCATTTTTATACTAAATACAAATTACAATTTTTATTTAATTGAGGTCCAACTTTTGTCGTGTTTGACTTAAAAATGTTAAACTAGACGAATACATTGGAACGGAGGTAGTATATTATATGTTGGGAGTAATAATAAGACTTGTATTACTTGACTATTGAACAAAAACAATGGCTGCTTATTATAAATAAAAGGGTCCTAAAGTTTAAGTTCAAAACAAGCTGAACACTATAATAATGTGGACTGTAAAACCATTTGCCACAACCAGAAATCCATGTACCACAGAATTGTGTAATCTGAGCTGTGAATAATTCAATACTGCCCCTCAAACTGGAGTGTGTAGATAGCATTGGAATCTGTTAAAGGATGTGATAAAACGTTGTTATATCATATTCATCAGTCGACAGTATAAGTAGAAGAATTACAATAAAACGTATAAAAAGCAGTTACCTTAACTAAGGAAATAAATAGAAAATAGTAAAAATAAACACGATTAGGAAATCGCAAAATTTGATTTTGCTATTGCTCGTCAAGCTGGTGCAATGGTGTTTAGCTTGCCCAACTTGCTTTTGAAATAGTTGAAGACAGATCTTGCTAGGCTCTTTCTCAGAATATCCACTGTCTGTTGGCTGGAGGTCAAAAACGGTAAACAAGTAATTCCAGCTGTTGGATGTATCAAAACTCTGGTGTTGCCCTAGTTCGTGTTGCCTAATGTAGTATGAGCAGATATGATACACGATAGGGCGCAATGGCGTCGTTTGATCCATGTAGCCGACCCCACCTAGTGGGATAAGGCTTTGTTGTTGTTGTTAATTGTCTTCAGATGCCTTTTGTAAACTGCATATTTCTGATCTCCTAAAGCATTTCCAGAGCACATGTATTTAATCTATGTATGCCAAAACAGATCTCTTGTACAAGGCCAACATTGACACTGGAAGTGTACTGGAATATGCCCTTGCTTTCACCAGTGCCGCTTTAGATAAATACTGTGGCAAATGGAGCGCGGCCCCTAAGACAGGATTTATTGATATCAGAACTTCAAAGGACTTCTACCGAATATTTAGTGGCCTACAAATTGTAAGAGATGGTTTTTTGCTCTACTCATTACTCTTAAGAGATTCATCATTATAAATCCGAACTACAGTTCTAAATCCTTATTTGATGCTTAATCCATTGTGCTCAAAGTGTTCCATTGTGTGGAGGTGTGTTGACTATAGTAACGGTAATACAGATGCTGAAGTAGTTTATAGCTGTTGATTACTGAACTTTAGGGTTAAGTCCCTTGGTCCACTTCAGCACTTACCAATATGTCTTTCCCAAAATGATCTTGTCATTATCTTTTTGGAAGTTCTAAACTAGAACCAACCGCGCGCTATTTCTACTCCACACATCTTATCAAATAGTCATTTCCCAATAAATAACACTTTTCAACCTACTTTGAAGCCAGTCAGCCGTCCCAAATAGTCATTTCCCAATAAATAACACTTTTCAACCTACTTTGGGACAGAGGAAGAAGTTAATTCATTTTGCTTAGAGAGCTTATGCATTTGCTGAGCTCTATCAACTTTAACCCTGGATAAAGCATCTGGAAAGTCCCAGCTTGGTGCCTTCTTTTATGAATACAGTTTTTTCTTGCTAATGTGTCAGCAACAGTTTTGATTACATTTAACACTTAGATTATTAGTAGTGAGCTTCTGTTGGATGATTATGATTCTTTTTATTCCTCACAAGCTACATATGTTGCTCTGACACTTCAGACAAAATGGGAAAACCTTTTTTGCGATACAAGTAAATCAAAGTTTATGCAATCACATCATTTGCCCGTTGGTGTTAGATAGTGAAGGTCTAAGCGTGTTTCACGGCAATACTTTTCTGGGAACTCAAAAATTTATTCCAAAGCTAAAACCTGATTGATGTCTTGAAATGTTGCCATGTACTATTCTTCTTTATGATCATGGGCATATCTGACTGAGTTTATAACTTCAGGAATACTTGGAGGAATCTGTATTATTGCAGTCAAGCAGCCACGAAATGTTGGGTGATTCTGTTGCCTGGGGTGGATGCACAATCATCTACCTGCTTGGCCAGCAACTGCACTTTGAACTCTTTGATTTTTCACATCAAGTCCTCAATGTTTCAGAGGCAGAAGCAGCAGCATTTACATCACCGCAAATGAATCTTACATTTGTTCAGGTATACACTTTCCTTCTCAGAGACTTATCTCTATATGTAGGGGTAAGGTTACTTTGGTGGGTTCATATGTGGTTGTTGTTTTAACCCTGTTAATCTTGTCTAACTGGTTGGTACTGTTAATATGAAAGGGATTGGATAGCTTAATGGAGGCCATGAAGAAAGCAAGGAGGCTAAACAGTCATGTGTTTTCAATGTTGAAAGCCCGGTGCCCGCTTGAGGACAAGCAAGCATGCGCTATAAAACCAAGTGGTGCACCATTGCATCGCGTCAAATATGAGAACACGGTATCTGCTTTTGAAACACTCCCTCAGAAAGGTGCTTGAGATTAATGGTCTGTTTCCACAACACGACTCCATCTTTCTGTGTTTTATTATATTTATTATTACTATTGTAATTATTACTATTATTATTATTACTATTACTATTATTATAAATAATATGGAGTACTATTATTATTTGGAAAAATTACCCAAAATAATCCCAACTTTATTTGATATTTCAAAAATAATCCCACCTTTCACTGTGATGCATAATAATCTCAACTTTATTGAAATTTTCCAGTTTTGGGTTGATGTTAAGTTTCTAACGGAGGGTTAACGGAAATGCCCGTTTTAGGCAACAAAATGAAAGTTGAGATTATTTTTGATGAATATTCATTTTTTTTATTTTTTTAAAATTTTTCATTTAAATTTTTTAAATTTCTTTCTACCTCCATCATCATTTCTTTTTCCTTTTTTAAAGATTAGTCTTAGTTTAAAAAAATAAAAATAATAGATATAAAAAATGAAAAAATGAGAAATATAACTAAAATGATACAAAAATAATAAAATAAATAAGGTAATCAATGGAAACTAACTTGAAACTGGTAATAGTAAAATAAAAATATATGGGTGAGTTTTAATATTTTACGCAGGGAAGTATTAACATATCACTTCTTATTTTTTACAAAAAATTATCTACACTAATTCCAATTTTACCGGACGGCTTGTTCTTTTAAAAAATAATTAGTACATTAAGACTTTGTATAGTGTCTAAAATGTTAAAATCTATCACTCCGTATATATTTATTTTATTTCTTACCAGTTTATGTTTAATTTTTATTGATTACATTATTTATTTGATCTATTTTTTTCTAAAGTAAGAATAATCTTTAAAAAAGAAAAAGAAATGGAGGTTGAAAGTAATTCAAAAAATTTAAATAAAAATTTCAAAAAAAATTAAAAAACAAAAATTGATTAAAAATAATCCCAACTTTCATTTTGTTGTCTAAAACGGGCATTTCCGTTAACCCTCCGTTAGAAACTTAACGGCGACCCAAAACTGGCAAATTTCTGTAAAGTTAGGATTATTATGCATCACAGTGAATGGTGAGATTATTTTTGAAAGACCCAGTAAAGTTGAGATTATTTTTGATAATTTTTTCCTTATTATTTCCATTATTATTATTACTATTACTATTACTATTATTATTATTATTATTATTATTATTACTATTACTATTATTATTACTATTATTATTTCTATTACTATTACTATTACTATAACTATTACTCGTACTATAATTATTATTATTATGACTATAATTATTATTACTATTGTTATTATAATTATTACTATTATTATTATTACTAATATTATTATTACTATTATCATAATTTATCTTATTAAAATCATTTCAATATGTCAAGTACTTTAATTTAAAAATTATCAAAAATCTAGACGTAAAAATCTAGACGTAATCAAGATTGAAACAAATCTAGACCAACCCTGTGTTATTTTTCAATCATTTAAATAAATTATGTATACATTTTACAATGTTTTGTCGTAGTTCTTTTGGGACTACAACTTCGTAAATTAAGAGCCCCAGAGACAGTTCATATTCCAAATACTCCAACGTTGTTTCTCTCCTAAAAAACTGGCATAAATATCTACCAAAACAACTTACACAAAGTCACAAACAACTAGGAGTTGGGGGCCAGGTAGAGCCTAATTAGGATTTCATGATTCATATAAGTTGTGCAAATTGACCAATTTTAAACAGAGTAAAAACTAGACAAGACCCTTATTTTTAGAAGGGAGATTGGAAAATTTAAACAGAATGAGCAAGAAGAAAGGCATACAGAAACAATGCCCCCCTCCATAGGTGATGGTGTAAATCCAGACAAGAACACAAAATTATTAATAAAAAAAAAAACAATCAGATAAAATGTTATTAGGAGAGCCACATCTGCTAAAACCTAAATCGCCCAAGGGTTTTAACTAACCTTCTTAGGTAGGAAAATGGCCACTGCTTGGATAAATTCTTGAGACTCAAGAATTTCTCTCCCTTTCTCTCTTTTTTTTTCTTTCTCGGAAGCTCTCCCTTTATAGAATAGATCCTCCTAAAATTATTAAAAAAAAACACTGGCAAACACACAATTTAAAAGAATACAGTCGACTCAGTCATTGAAATGAAAATATACAATCAGAAGAAAATTGCAAAGCCGAAAACAAGTATAACACAGCAAATACTGATCTAAAGCATGAAATCAAGAGCTGTAGAGTGGTGTTTTATACACATTTTCTAAAATAATAGTGATAGATGATCTGTGGAGTGGTGTTCCAAATTAGGAATTTCGACCCTCTAAAACATGTACTCATTGTAATTGAAAACAATAATGTTTCTTTGAGAATATTTGAAAATGTTTGAATATTATGAATCGAAGAAGATGAAGAAGAAGAGATACCTTAGGTCGGGTTGGACGTATGTGGAAGAATTGGGCGGATTCACTCGTCCGACTGGCAGTGTCGCAGAGAATCGCAAATGAGAGGGCTAGGATTGAAAATGGAAAATTGGGGGAGAATCGGAGTCGCTGATATGCCTTTAACTTGTGGAAAGAGTTACATATACAAATAGTACCTTTGGTCTTTCCTCTCTTTTTACTTTTAAAAATTGAACAAAAATTTCAATGGTCAAAGAATTGATGTATAATTAGTTTTTCTAAGGAAAATATAAAGCACACAGAGCATAAGCACAATGTGTGAAACGTGATGCATGTAACAAAAAAGAAGTTAATCTCATGAAATTGTCTTCGATTTTGTGGTTAAAGACATGGAATAATCTTTTTTAGCGTTTTTCTCACAAGATATTACCTTAGAATAAAAATACTTGAAAGTAGAATAATATCGAGTTCACATAGGACATTGTATTGCGATTCAACAATATGACTATAGAAGAGACATGGAATTCGTTCTAAGAGTTAAACTAAAAGATACTGGTAAAAGATATTGTACTATGTTCAAAGGACACATCACAACTAAAATTTCAGATTAGTTTTTTTTACTGTTACATGATTGACATCTGATGGGTGTGATCCACCCAGGACCGGTCAAAGGAGGTGCCCAAATGTTTGACCGGTAGAGTCTGTTGTACCATATACCTTTTGAGATAGAGGAAGAGATCAGAGGGAACAAAACTTCGAGAAGGGGATTTCATTTTTGGGATAGTATGAATATGATTTTTTTTTTAATTTATGTAGTACTATTCGGTCGTTGCTGCCTTTTTTTTCTAAATTTTATTTTCTTATTGTAAATCCATAAAAGATTTTATATTCTAACATCTTTGACTCATACATAAAATAGGCAAGACCCATCGATATAATGGAAAATATTGAGCATACCACCTTTCTAAATAAATCTCTACAAGTCCACTAGAATCACATAGGGTCTCTATCCTGTCCTATAAAATACTTCCTCCATCTTAAATTAAATTATCTATTTACTATTCACAGGATAAAATCATGTCAATTTTTTTTATTTTCATTAGTCAATTGATAAAATAATATAGTCATGTCATCACTAATTCTGTAGATATTTTGATGTAGTTTTTAAATATATATTTTTTATTTTTTAATTCTACATCATTTTACATATAAAATGATTTGAAAATAACTTCAGTCAAACATTGTAAACCAAAACAAATGATTTAAATGAGGACGGAGGGAGTACTTTTCTTTTTCTTTTCGTCCATCCAAAAAAAATTCATTTGTATTTAAAATAAAGAATAAATAACCCATAATTCTTCTCTTCCATTAATAAATTCTAACTATAAAATTTTTCTTAAACTCCCTAAGGGTCAAACAATGAATTTTTTGGGGGACCAAATGAAACGAACATTAAATAACAATACATACTCCGTAAAACCTAACAATTTTATTTGTTTACACTTTCTTTTTCTCCTTTTCTTTCTTTCACTAGATTCTTGCACCAAGATGCCAATAAGTGCCAAACTATCGTCAACCATTTTAAGACATAATAAAAAAACATCCACTTTATACACCAAATAAAAGGTGGATGATGCCATCCTCCTTTGCATGCAAAGACTGGAAATAAGTCTAGACAAAAATATAGAGCCAGAATCCTTTTTTTAATAACTCAAGTTCTACAGAATGAAGAGTGTATATGCATTTTCCCATAACATTTTCACATCATAAAACCAAATGAAGCATCACACACCTTGGATTGGCAAAATGCACATAGTTTACTACTAGTCATAAGCCAGGCCAAAACATCTCAAGGGTCACCTGACATTAGTTTGAACAATGCACATATGCAATTCATAAGCAACTTGCAAGAATGCTAGTGAAATATGAAATTATTTCTGAATTCTCAGCAGTGGAGGGAATACATGAAATTGCTAAAACTTGAAAAAAAAAACGTTGATTGGTTGGTTAAGGACTTAAGGTTTCATTCCATGACAACTTTGGCCCCAACTGCTTTCATCTTCTCAATTATCTGCTCTCCTTCTTCCTTTGACACACCCTTTTTAAATATTGCAGGCGACTTCTCCACCAAATCCTTTGCTTCCTTGAGACCTAAATCAGTGAAACCGCGGACCTCCTTGATTATCTTGATCTTTTGAGCAGCATCATAAGACTCTAGCTTTAGCTCAAACACGGTTTTCTCGGGTTTCTTTTCTTCCTCGGCTGCTCCGGCTGTGGGACCCTTCTTCATAGAACCCAACCTCTTCATCAAAATCCCAGACAGCTCTGCTACTTCAACCAGTGAGAGCCCGGAAACTTCATCAACAAGCATCCACACTCTGTCTGTTGGAGGACTGCGATGCTCTGTTGGATCAAATGTTGAAGGGTCATAATCGGCTGGGAGCCTTCTCTGGTCGATCTCAACTCCTTTGTCTTCTTCTTCCTCTTTCCTGGCACTTTGTTGAGCAATGTTCCGAGTCCACCTGGCAGCAGGATATTGTGCAGTTGCATTGTACAGAATAGGATGTCTTAAGAACACATGAGGCAAACGATGCCTTATCTGTGAAACCAAACTCATTACACTATGCAATCGATGACTAAGAAATAACCATCTATTTGCTCCCTCTCATGCAGCAAATCAACCCCTGTTGAATCCAGAAAGCAATAAAGAATTTAATGCAATCCAACTTCTGAAGAGAAATATACATCAAAGGCCATCCTTATTATGAGGCCAAAAGCTAATATGCTAAAAAATATGATAACAATGGTAAATCATACTTTTCAGGTTTTGAGTAAGAAACATTCAACACTTTAGAGACAGATATGATCATAAGTTACCACACAAAGTGTTGCTGTACTATTAGCATCCGCATACAAGTAAGTTTTACTTATTTCTGTGCCTACCTTGTAATCCATCACTACCCAGATGATTTTGAACCCATATTCACATTTTAAACTACAAAAATACACCTTGGTGATACACCATTGAAGAAATCCATAAAATATCAGATCTTCACACCATACATATACTACATAAAAGTTCCAGGTGTTAGAAAACTAGAATTTTGTTTGGAAATACTCCGTATTTCATAATAACTTATCAGCAAAACAATCGCATATATTTATGAATCCAAATTCATCAATCTATTTTATTCTCTCTCCATCCCTAAATGTTGATCCTTTACAAAATGTTGTGCTAAACTTTGACCATTAGTTTCTCTTGAAATACATAGTCAAAAGTTATATACTCCAAAATTTGCAAATCATGAAACTATTTTTCATCACAAAAAAATTATGAAGCTATTTTTCATCATAAATTTTGACCAACAAATTTACTTTGTCATTTTAGAGAAATTAAAAATCAAAGTTTGGCAGTTGGCACCAACTCCGACAATAACCTATTAACCTGCATTTTGGGACGGAGGGAGTATATAATAATGCAGTTTCTTTCGCGAATTTTCTTTACAAAATGGCTAAGGAGAAAATGTAAACTTACTGGGAGCAACGGTAGGTATGGTTTTGCCTTGAGGACAGTCAAGTTTCATTCTAAGTTTATTTAAACTTTACTAATTTTGCATTGAAAAATAATATCAGTAGCTATATTGTGGTTCCCAAAAACAAAATTCAAGATTTTTGAAATCTATCCCAACTCAAAGAATGGAAAGGTGAAAACAGCTCATCCTCTATGTATAAATCAAATTAAAAACTTTCACTTCTCACCAAAGTATTACAAAAAAATTCTGATTTATAATGCTACCTGCATTCCATATTGTTTGTCCCTTTTTTTCATTTTGGCCCGTACCGAAATGTTTGTATCATCCCACCAATTCAAACTTCAAAAATTCAATACCAACCAAATCCTTACATTCTCTTAACAGTTAATGGAATAGATCCTCCTAAAATTATTAAAAAAACACTGGCAAACACACAATTTAGAAGAATACAGTCAACTCAGTCATTAAAATGAAAGTATACAATCAGAAGAAAATTGCAAAGTTGAAACCAAGTATAACACAGCAAATACTGATCTAAAACATGAAATCAAGAGCTGTAGAGTGGTGTTTTATACACATTTTCTAAAATAATAGTGATAGATGATCTGTGGAGTAGTGTTTCAGATTAGGAATTTCGACCCTCTAAAACATGTAATAATTGTAATTGAAAACAATAATGTTTCTTTGAGAATATTTGAAAATGTTCGAATATTATGAATCGAAGATGATGAAGAAGACGAGATACCTTAGGTTGGGTTGGATGTATGTGGAAGAATTGGGCGGATTCACTCGTCCGGCTGGCAGTGTCACAGAGAATCGCAAATGAGAGGGCTAGGGTTGAAAATGGAAAATTGGGAAAAGTGGGGGAGTATAGGAGTCGTTGATATGAAATTATTTCTGAATTCTCAGCAGTGGAGGGAATACATGAAATTGCTAAAACTTGAAAAACAAAACATTGATTGGTTGGTTAAGGACTTAATATTGCGACTGGATAATATTGCGACTTAAAGAGGGCATACCAACAAATTGAAGCACTTCAGATGAAGGATTAGTCGTTATATTGTGCCCAGATGGCAGTGAGGAAGGGTTCATCATATTCTGACTTAGAACAGGCATACCAATCAACTAAAGCACTTCGGGAGAAGGAGAAAATACAGATTCAGCAGTTGTGAGATTTGGCAAAGATGCCTTAGCTGGAAAGGACGAAGGGTTCAAAATATTCTGACTTGGAGAACACAAGTCAACCCCTGGCTCTGAAGTGCTAGCAACAGAATTTAAAAGCACAAAAGACGCCTGTTGGTCTTGATGAGCAAAAGTTGAACCCTGTTTCTCACTGGGAAGGCCTCCTTGGAGGGTATCATCACTAGATTCCTTAAAACTCTTCCGAGGGAATATGGAATCTATGTTTCTTCTTCTTCTTCAAGATCAGTCGGGGATCTGATGGTTGAGAAGGTAGTGGACCAGGAACAGAAAAGGGAGGAATTGTGGGGTTTCCTTCCCCGTAAAGTAAGCGGACTGAGTATGAAATTGCAGACAAAGTAGGTGGCAATGCAGGTTCAGCACAGTCGGGAGGTGGAATATTCACTGCTTCTTGAAGCCAGTGAGGAAGCTTTATCTTTGAACCACATTTTGCCACCTCTTTCCCCTTCGATGATGGGAGAACATGCTTTCCCTTATTGGTTTTATCTGAAGGCAGGGAAAACCCGCTTGACTCGCCATTTCCAGCATGTTTACTATCGTGCATGAAATTCAATGAATGGTCAAGAATGTTGGATAATTTTCCAAAACGACTTGCACTTTCTCCCCCCCTCTTTTTGAGGAAAGTTTCCGGTGCTATTTAGACCATGAGGTCGAAAAGTACTTGTAGCCAAAGGATTCAGCCTCCCAAAGGGACCGTTGTGAGAGAAATGGATCAACTCATCAAGAGCAATCTTCTCTTGTGCTATTAAAATCTGTTGCTGGTGGTACTTCCGAGCTTGCCCCAACCGAACCCGATCTTGGCATGTCATCTCCAAGTCAGAATATGATGAACCCTTCATCATTGCCATCTAACCCATCTCCACCAAATACGATCACTGCTGAATTGTCCCCTTCTCCCATTTCTCCCAATGATGAAGCAAATGCGGCCTCATCTCAGGCAGAGAAAGATCAAAGCGAGAGAAGCATGGCTTCTCATTCAGATCCTGCCCGAAGTGGGCAGCACGATGCGGATGTCGATGGAGTGTCTTCAAAAGGAACTGTTTCTGTTCATGTTTCTGCTGAACCATTAATTTGGGAGTTCTTATTTTGTTTTTTGCTTTTTTTTTTGGGGGGGGAGGGGGGTGTTGTTTTCCAATGGTACGCTGCAGGAGGTTTAAGTCGCTGAGCCTCAATCAGACTCATTTTTTGTAGAGAAGGATGCAATTGATGTAATGTGTAGTAGTATATAGTTAGACCAATTTGTAATGTAAAGGCTATGTAAGAGAAATGTAATCATAGGGTGATGTAATAGTGGGGTGTTAAGAAGGGAGAATTTAATTACTTTCTGGTTTTGAAGATTCCCAAGCAATTGTTCCAAACATCCTACGGAGTACTCCGGTAGTTATTATGGAAAACGGATATAGAAGATATTCCTTTCCCGATATTCAAGGTATTTTCGAAATTGCTTGGGAATATTACATCAGTCGCTTGTAAACAAGAGAATCGGTTTACAAATAAATAAAATGGTCACAAATTTTACAAATTTATTATTTCTGAGTTTCAATAAAAAATAGTCTAAAATAATTTAAAATGAAAATAAACTATAAATAGTAAGTTTGAGAGTTTTGTGATTATTTAGTTTGTGAACCTAGTATTGCTGATAGAACAAACATATATTCCAAATATTTTAGAATTGAGTATTTTTGAATCAATTTATATGAAAATTGAGGAGTAATTAAAAAAATTTTATATAATTAAAAATTAAACAAATTTCTACTCCGTACAAAATAGGAGGTGATATAATTATATTATTTTATTAAAATGTTTAGGTTCTATTGACACTTATTTTGAGTGTCTATGAATGTCGAATGACACCATTTAAGCATCTGTGATGCTATGTTCGTAAAATTGATGTTTTCTACTTTCATTATACCTTTGATAATGCCCCTACCACGGCTTGAATCGCTATCCAAAACCTTCAATTGCATCCCAAAAATTTGTTGACTTAATTTTTGAGGATGAAATTGAAGGGGCTGGAGTGGGGGGGTATTGGGGAAGTTAGGGAGTAGCCATCAATTTTACGAACGGACTACCGTAAGTATTCTAAAGTGATAGAGGCCGACACCACATCTTGAACGGTACTCAGTATCATTAGAACCGTGTCCTTTTATCAAACGAGTGACAAAAATAAGTAAAGAAAATGATTATCATTTAAGTATATAAATAGTGAATATGTAATTTAAGATGGAGTAAATTCTGTTATAAATAATATTATTGTGATAAACAAAAGTTTTTGAAATTTTTTAAATTTTACGATTACCAAGTTTATACTTTAGTCCGAAAGAGCTGCAGGACTGAACAGATTAATGTGTTACAATTTGGTATCATAGCAAATGGTGTTAAATCCGATCTTTGGATTTCGCCGTCGCCCTGGTCATCGTCTCCGATCAAAGTCTAGGGAAAGATTTTTACCACTAACAAAAGGAAATCGGCGATTCACAGACGAGCGGTCTTGGAGATACCTGATCGGTTCTATTGGACTTGAGATCACAATTTTCAGGGATGGGCTCCCTCCCATCATCGCTCCCTTAGAGACCAGAATAACCCAATTGGATCGCGCTTTTTCGACGATAAACAGGGTCTGCGACACCGAAGGGACAATAGGAAATTCAGGCAGCATTGGGATTCCAAATACACAACGAGGTATGAACTTGCTGGTAGGAATGGCAATGGGTCGCGTTCGGTTCGGATATACCTTTACCCGAAACCGACCCAAAACTGAGATCGGTCATTTTTTTTTGCCTGAATTCGAACCGTCGGGTCAGAGTTTCTACCCGGACCCGAACCAAACTATGCAAACAGAGGCGTGATACCGCAACCGACCCGACTAACCCGCTCGTCCCAAAGAGGAGCGGCTTCCGATAAAGCAGTGGATGAATCGCGGTGGCGGATTTACCGGAAACTTCAATCGCTAGAGAGTCGATGGATGAGGAGTTGAAGATGGCTGGAGTGCTGGTCGAGTGGAAGACGGTTGGGTAATGGAGAGTGACTTATGGTTAGGGTTTTATTAAAAAACATACGGAGTATATTTTTGTCGGGTCGGTCGAGCACGGGTCGGGTCGGTCATATTTAATGACCTGAAACCGACCCCGACAAAGGTCGGGTTCGGTTTTAATTTTCTCGGGTCGGTTTCGGATATTAAATTTCTCGGTTCGAATTCAGATATTTTAAGCTCCGGTTGGGTCGGTAAAAGTCGGATTCGGGTACAATTGCCATCCCTACCTGCTGGGAAATTTCATCCCTATGCTGGTCCATTCTCTAAATCCCATGGATTACAATCCATATATCTTGAAAGCAAAAGGTATGACTTTCATCACTCAAGTTCCCTTCATATTTCAGAGCTCATGAAAGGATATTTTCGTACTATTTCTGTTTCTACTCCATTGGCTTTTTGGATGCTTGAATCACTGGAGCATCATCATATGGAACAAACTGATTGGGCATTAACTCGATTTGAGGGGAAAAACTCAGTTAATATCACTTGGGACTCAAATTTTTTTGGGAATTTTGTGAAGATTACTACTGTTCTTAATGGAAATCGATCCACTATTTGTGTTCTATTAGGTGAGGGTAAACTTGGATTGAAGTCCTTTATTAAGGCACTTTCTAGGTCTCTTTCTGAAAGGAAAGCACTGATTATTGAAATTGATGAAACTAAGGTCCCTAAAAACCTTGAGTCCACCTCAAGCAGTGGAGTGGTTCCTCTCCTAATCCTAGCTTGCCCTAGACCAGAATGGCAAGACCCATTAATTAAGGCTTTTGAGAGCAACTCAAATGTAGGACATTTGAGCTGTCTGTCCATCTCCTCAAATCTTCTGCAACAAGATCTTATGCAGGGTGTAACGATGCCTAGCGTCACAGAACATGGGTTAAATGATGGGTCAGCAGAGACTAAGGAAGCTGAAGATGAAGAAAAGAAGATCCAATTGTTATTTTAACCTGCTTTCGATGCCTACTTTGAAACAATCTTTAGGGCAGTGGAAAAACAGGTTCTAGAGGCTTTGGCGAGGACATCGCTACTGGATAAACTGAAAATGGGACTTTTTCAAAACATGTCGGGTAAAACTCTTCGAGCAACACGTGAGACGGTGAAAAGCATGGAAAAGGTGACCCTAGTTCAATTTGAAGATACTAAATACCTAGCTTTCATTTCGTGTTCCAAAGCTGATGAAAGACTTGTGGCGGAGTTTCTAACAGGGGAGCACGTTGAAGAGTCACAAGATAATATTGGTTAAAGTTTAGTCTTATTTATTCAACTTAGTTACGTGTTTTGCTGGTTGTCCTTTGTAGATCAAGCGAGGGCTAAATGAAGCAGGGTTAATCTTGCACTTTCCAGGGGTTTAGAGAAACGGGTTTTCAAGGTTTTATTGCAGATTTGGAATTATGCTTTTGAATTTTCCATAGGGTTCTGGTTTTTTTGAGACAGGGTTGGAGGTACATAGTTCATCATTTGTACAAGCCAGAGTCCTACACAGACAGCCTTATTTTCAACCTTTTTTCCTTGTCAGGCTAAAACGAATGGTAAATGGACGCTAATACTGGTTGTGATCAGGGGGTAGATGAACTGCAGGATGACCAGCCAAGGAAGCAGTTTTGGGGTTTTGATAGGGATGCAGTTGGAGTCATGCGTCTTTATCTTCAGATCCTCTTTTAATTTTAGTCTGTTGTCAGCTTCTTCTTTTAGTTTAGTGTATGGCAGTCCTTGTACTCTATTTGTTGGTTTTGGTTCCCCTTTTGGCCTTTTGTCGGATTGGCCACCCCACTCCACCTTTCTTTTCCTTTAATAAATTTTTCCTTTAGGAGCGTAAACCATACTCGGATGGTCTTCCCAGATGAAGGTTCTAAGCTAAAGTCCAGCAATCAATCCGCTAGGAGGGCGAGCTGAGCGCAAACCATACTCGGATCTTCTTTCCGTATGGAGGTTCTTCACCAAAGGTTTGGCATCCACTCACTCACCTCTAGGGCGTATCGATCCGAGGGAAATGAGACCGAAGGCAAAAAGAAAAGAAACAAAAATAATTTTAACACGCTTCCATTAATTTGAAGGAACAATCATTCACCGTGGCGTAAACGCCTTACAAGGCTTCAAAATAAAAGAGAAGTGATAAAACACTCAGTGTCAGCCACCGTAGTTCCACCCTCAGTGGTAGGAGCAAGGCTGGGGTAGCGACGAAGGCGGTGTAACGAACCCATGACCAGTAAAAGAGTAGCCCGAAGAAGAGCTGAGAGACTGCGAGAAAGGCACTTCACCAAAATGCAAGCTCGGATGATTGGAAGCCACTAAGACCGAGTCAGAGACCTCACGCGGAGCCACTGGGTCACCACGGCTCGCCCTCGTTGGTTTGGTGCGGTGGGAGGGGGAGTAGCCCGGGGCCCGAGGGAGGAAACAGAGGCGTATCATTAGTATTTTCCTTGTCAAAAGGATAGTAGATGAACCCTGGGATCTTGGAGAAAGGATGAGGTCGAGTTTAATGTGACTCAACGTCTGAATCTCGAGGGGACCGGTGCGAGGGGGGTGAACTCGGCCTAGATTTGGTCTGAATGGCTGAGGACCCCCAAGGAGAGTAGCTTCCATAAAAGAAACGGTTCTCTCGCAACTTAATCGAGTGAGGAGAAGTAGGAGGAGAATCAGACATTGTCATAAATGATAGAGAATCCTCCAAGTCTTGAGAAGAAATAAGTTCAAGAGACCCTTATATAGGCCAAGGCTCGGACCATGGGTGGATAGGGGAAGAACACATGGCATTCAAATAGTGGAAGACAAGACGATTAGGCGGTCAAAAGGTTGGTGAGGAGCCCAAGGGATCCTCATAAATGCAAAGCTCAATGGGACGGCCCAAGTCCCTAGACGGGTTTAGGTCCCTATGTTGACCAAATTGGTTTACCGAACTCAGAGGGATGAAGGAAACACTTGGAAAAATATATGCACCTACTTAGGAAACCCAGAGGCATGCTCACCTCTTGGCATGCCGCCTTGGCTCGGTAACACAACACTGGCCGAGCATAAGGAACCGCCAGAAGTCAGAGCAAGGGAAGGATGTATCGAACCATCCAAGCAAGGTAGTGCAGATAAACGAAGGAAAAAGGAAGAAAATGACAAGGAAATTTAATACAAAGTTTAATACATCTTACAAGAGGCATTCGAGGTGACCTCAAGAGTTCAAAAAAGAGAGAAAATAAATGCAACAAGGCACTTGCAAGGACACCTCAACTCCCACCTTCCTACTACCCCAAAACCTCATCCTTGGTGTGTGATTCATAAAATGAGTGGTCGAAGTCATTGAAATCATTGCATGGTTCCGCGAGATCTAAGCTCTCTTCGAGTTTATGGAGTAGGACCTACTGGCCTTGATTCCTTGAACATCATGCTGTGGTAGTAGGACTTCCCCTCCTGAGCCGAAAATTCACGACCCGGAGTTGTATTCCCCCACGCTTTTAGGAATGGGCGGCATAGGAACTAGAATCCGTGTAGGAAGATTTGGATAGCCGGGGTAGAAGTTAGAGGTGGTCGAGCTCGAGGCAGACCCTGATTTGATGGGAACGAATGCAGAACCCCTCTAGGTAACGGTGCGAGCCTGGGACTAATTGGCAGGGAAGAAAGTCGAAGTGGTTGAAAAAGGAAACAGTCAAGGGACGAAGGGGGAAGCGGAAACCATACTCAAAGGACTTGAGATGGATGGAAAAGAAACCTGGAGGAGCGTTGAAGACAAAATCCTCGGGGGTAGGACGATGCACGGTGACGCTGGGTCAGCTAAGTGCAGGGCCGGCCCAATAGGGGGACAAACAGCCCAAAAAATTAAGGGGCCCAAATATTTTTTAAATACTCCGTAGTATATACTCCAATCCATAAGAGGCCCAGGCCCAATCCATCTTTTCTCTTAGACCATTAGTTACGGGAGAGGGTGAGAGATGCACGAAAGGGCAGGGACGATGGAAGTACGGAACTCAGATACGCTGCCGCCGCCGCCAGACGCACCGCCGGACGCCGACTCTCAAGCTCCAGCCTCCAGGTATTCCGTATTTCCATAATTATTTCTTTTTTTTTTCATTGTTTCATTCTTTAGATTTAAAATATAGGGTTAATTATCAATTTTTAATTTGAAATTCTTGTTAATTGCTATGAAATAGAGTGAAATAATGGTTCTATATGTTATTTACAGTATTTGATTTGGATGAATTGATTTAAATTTATTATATATTTGTATATAAAAAACTGAAAAATAAAAAAAATGAAATATTGACGATTTGATATGAATATTGGAAGGCCAATCATCCATTCATGATGATATAATAGGGATCAAGGTTTACTAAATGAATTAAGATTGCATATAAAATGTTCTGCAATTTTAATGAGTTAAGACGCTTTCACTCGCGCAGTTGCAATGTTTCGTCAGAGGGTTTCTTAGTGATACCCAAATGTGTTATACTAGTCATTATATCATGTACATACATTGATGAAGCGCAAAAATATCTTTAGAAATAATATATATTTCATTCAAATCCTCGACTAGCTTTTACGGTATGTAATTATAATACTATAATTTTGTCATTTATTTTTTTCTTCTAATAATACTTCGTTAATTATGATTTAAGTATAATTAGTTTACATATGTTAATTTGTTAGACCATTAAGGATAAAATTTTTAGAGCCTTTTTTTCTGTTTCGGACCAGGCTGATGAATCCTCAGGACCGGCCCTTGCTAGGTGCATGACCTCGCGATACTCGTCACCCTCCAGATTGCATTTCTGGAGGCAGATGATTGAGTCAACTAGCGCCATCTGTTTTTGGAAGCGGGTCTTTACGGTTTGGGGATCAAAAACCTCAATCGCCTCTATTTCCTCAAGAGATGGCGAGCTTGGTTGACCCCCAACGATGTCCCGAGGGTTGGAACCGTCCCTACCGCGACCGAGCTAATCCTCCGTCTTGACCCGACACACATTTGAAGACTCGACCGACATTGGAAGTGCAAGAGCAAAGAAATCGACCTAGATCAAAAGGGGCGACTGGAAGTTTGTTCATTGAATGGTGGAGAATGACGGTGAAATAACGATGGCTGGATGACGAGGTCTGATCACTTTCTCTCTCTAAGAGTGATAAACAAAGGAATTAGGGTAGGTATTTATATTGAACAGATGGTGGGCTGAGAGAATGAACTGGGCCGACGTAATGATGAAGACTAACATGTCAGTCTGGGAGGAATGAAATGCCAGCACATGCGTCACCCCGGGAACACCAAATGTCACCATCTTATTTGGAAATGCATCCGCGTGTGGCACCACTCGCCCAAGAACCCTGTACTCTTCTACTCTCGCGCTTCCCCCTTCCGGCTGTTAGAGAACTCGGAGAGTGGGGAGCTTATGACGGAGGGTAATCCCGTGTCACATTAGTATTGGGCCCCTGGAGACGGTTCCTCCCGTCTACTTAACACTACAAGAAAAATGCTATATAGTGTGAGTACAATCCGTAGTTAAAACATAAAAAACCGTCATTAAAACATTTTAATGAGAGGAAATATACTCTCATCGACCGTCATTATAGGCTCCGTAGCTAATTACATATAATGACAGGTTACAAGTGTGCTTTGAACTTTCCAACCAATGTATAACGATGAATGAGGGACAATTTGTCTACTTCTCTTTCTGTAAACTGAGTAGCAGAGGTTCCCTTGTGCATGCACATGTCACACGCTAGTAATGTTTCCTTGAAAAAAGAGGGGAGCACAGGTTGGATTTTTGAGGGGGAGGAAGTCACCATTTGAGCTAAGGTTGACTCCCCTGCCACTGTTTTGCCCACGAGTTTGGGCATATTAGGATCTGGTTTCAGGGCCAAAATAGTGGGGGTTAAAGCTGAATTTGTAGGTGTTAACGAGGAGTGATTATGGCCAACAGATAACTGTTGAATAGGTAGTTGTTGCTACATGGTTTTGGGCTGCACGGGGCTGAAACAGTTTGGTTCTTGCTATCAACGATACAGGTTTCAACACTGCTAAGGCCGTGAGATAAGGGAGCTAGAACCATCTCAATTTGAACAGGCTAAAACAGTGCCCAAAATGGCAGTGCCTACATTAGTTTGAGCGAAGGTTTGGAGGGTTCACTCCTCAAAAGAGCTCCAGGTTGTTTTAATAAGGGTGGGAACTCCTCACGAGTCTTATCTTCTGTAATCAAAGGCCAAGAAACCCTTCCAGAGTCTGTGTGCCTTTGAGAAGTCATTGGAGCATTTTGCTAAACTTTTGGTGGCCATTCCTTCGAGGCCTGAGCAGAAACTAAATAATCTTTAGTCAAAACATAAGAGGACTCTGGGGGTGTTCTAACGACCCCTATGAGA